AAGGGGCTAATATCCAGAATATATAAAGAACTCGTACAACTCAACAACAACAAAAAATAACCCGATTAAAAACGGGGCAAAGGACTTAAATAGACATTTCTCTAAAGATGATATCCAGATGACCAAAAAGCATGAGAAGATATTCAACATCACTAATCATTAGGGAAATGCAGATCAAAACCACATGGAGATATCACCTCATATCCACTAGGATGCCTACTATTAAAGAAAAGAAAGAAAATAATGAATGTTGGTCAGGATGTGAAGAAACTGGAATCCTTGTGCACTGTTGGTGGGAATGTAAGATGGTGAATCTGTTGTAGAAAACAGTATGCCAGCTCCTCAAAAAAGTAAAAATAAATCCAGAGATTCCACTTCTGGGCATATATTCAATACTCGAAAGAATTGAAAGCAGGGTCCCGAAGAGATATTTGTACCCTCACATTCACAGCAGCATCGTTCACAATAGCCATGGGGTGGGAGCAATCGAAATGTCCATCAATGGATGAATGGGTAAACAAAATGTGGTATACACATACAATAGAATATTACTCAGCTTTAAAAAAAGGAAGGAAACTCTAAAATATGCTACAACATGGATGAACTTTGAGGACATTATGCTTAGTGAAATAAGACAGTCACAAACAAGTGATTCCACTTATTTGTGGTACCTAGCATAGTCAAATTCTTAGAGACATAAAGTAGACGTGTGGTTGCTAGGGGCTGGGGAAAGGAGGAAGAGGGCATTTGTTTAAAGGGTCCAGAGTTTCAGTTCTACAAGATGAAAAGTTCTGCATATTTGTTGCACAATAATGGGAATATGCTCAATGTTACTGAACTGTACACTTAAAAACACCTAGGATGGTCAGTTTTATGCTCATTTTAGCACAATTAATTTTTTTTAAACAACAAAAAAGCAGAGGTAAAAAAAAAATTTTTATGGGAAATCTCCCAATTTGCATATGTTGGCAACTGTTTTGATCCTGTAGTTGCCTATCTTATGGCGATTTCCCCATCTTTCATAACAAATAGCTGAGCCCCAAAGGTATCTCAGTGACCAGCCCTCCAGCACATGACTCAGGTAAAGCCTAATTGGTTTGTCAATCATAGCAGTCTCATCCTCCTTGCTGGTGATGGATTTAGAGGTGGGCATGTGACCCAGTTCTGACCGATAAGGTGTGAGGGGAAATCTTCTGGAGGTTTGTAGGAAAGGTTTCGTGGCTCTGAAAATGAAGCATACTAGGGAGAAATGGTCCTATTCCATTTCTGGACATTGATTTACATCAGCATAAGATATCTGGAGCAGCTGTGGTAATTTTCTAACCCAAAGGCAGCCATAGGCAGATCAGAAAGGTGGAAAGAATCTGGGGTCTCAGTGTCACAGGGCTGGACACAGCCTTCTTGCCTCCAGACTTTCTGTTATGTGAGATCTTCCATGCCCTTATTGTTTAATCATTGTGAGTTGCGATTTACAAGTTGCAGCTTAGAAGATCACAAGTGATATAGAGGGAAAAAAGCATATGGATCAAATAAAAGAAGTCTGAGACTGAATCTGATCCAGAGGCAGGCGATTTACTACCCCAGGTGTTTCCCTAATCACTTGCATTAAGCACTAATTCTTATGGGAGCTCCCCCTGCAAGTCAAACTCAGAGCCCCTACCCTCCTTTCTCCGTGGCAGAGGCCTCAGAGAAGGCCTAAGCCATCACTGTGTCCAACATCAGGCATCAGACTACAGTGATTTCCTCTAAGATGTCCTTGGTAACGTTGCTGAACAGGTTCAAGTACATCTGCAACTCTGGTTGCCCGTTTCTGAAAATGGTTCTTGCTACAGCCAGCCCTGTAACTGTCAAATACAGCAGTCATCCTCCTTATCCCTATAATATTCTTTGATATTAAATCTGCTTTGTCTGATATTAATAGGGCCACACCAACTTTCTTTGATTCGTGTTAGCATGGTATATCTTTTTCCATCCTTTTACTTTTAACTTACTTGTAGGCTTATATTTAAGTGGGTTCCTTTTAGGTAGCATACAGTTGGGTCTTGCTTTTTTATCTAATCTAACAATCTCTGCTTTTTATTTGCAGTAGTCACTTTCTAGTCATCTGCTTTAAAAAGGAAAAAAAAAAAAAAAGCTGTTCTTCTTTCTGTACCTAGGAATAGTTTTTTTCCTAACACGACATTTAATAAAGAGTTGTCATCCCTTACATAAATGTACATGGTGATAGCAGCGGGGTTGGAAATGTGGCAGTGTCTGGCACAGATGCCTGGGGATGGGATGGGATGGGATGGGGCAAGTTATAGTAATGAGAACTGCCAGTTGAGTTTTGTAATAGTTTAGCTGGTATACAGAGGACCTGAACTTCAGGGCCTCTAAAGAAGGTCCTTTCTACTGGAAGGAGAAACAGGAGCTGGTGACACATTAGTTACAATCACCAAGACTTCTCTTTCCTGGTCTCTGTATCTTAATCACCCTCTTTCCTGAAATTATGCAAAGAATAAAAAAAGTTCAGAGTGTCTGAGCTGGTAAGAATTTGGAACAATTAGTCCAATCTTTCCTTTTACAGTTGAGAAAAAGGAAGTAAGGAAAGTGAAATATTATGCCCCAGGTCTTGCCCCTGGCTAATGGTGGTGCTTGGAATAGGACCAAGTCCTTTCCAGATTTCCAGAAAGACTGGAGGACCTTACTGGTTTAATGTTAACCTTTGTATTCTCCTTAAAGGAAAAAAAAGATCCATTTGTTAATTTCTACTCTTTACACTTGTTTTGATTTGCAGCCCTACTCAAGAGAGTTGAGAAAAAAACCAACAACAAAACAAACAAGGGACATCATAAGAACAGAATGAAACACCCACACAGCAAAACAGATTCGCAGGGCAACTGGGACACATAGATAAAACAGTGAAAGAAAGTGAGACTAGAAGAGACAAGATTTTCCAGGGAGGTGCCTGGCATGTGGGGTTATTAGCCCCATCTTGTGGCCTTTTCAGATATTGTCTCGAAGGTTAATTTTTGAACCAGTAAGCCTAACTGGAGACCTGCTTGCTGGGTGAGTAGACCTAGCACAATGGGCCTCAAACTTTAGTGTACCTGAGAGTCACCTGGAGAGCGTGTGAAAAATGCAGATTCCTGGGCATTTCCCCCCAAAGAGGCAAGTAGATCAAAGAATCTGGACTCAAGAATCTGTGTTTTTATTTAGAAAGCTCCCCAGGTAACTGCAGGAGGACCACTGATCATGTATAAGCAACACTCCAGAAAGCAATAACACTTAGGGGCATCCATCGGCTTGGCATTGTGGGGAAAGGCCTATTCTGAGTAAAAAGTTTGGAAGGAAATTGTCTAGATTTTAGCCTACTTGCAAGCTAACAAGTATCAATGGAAAAAATGCTGCCTGCCGTATCAGTGAACAAAGGATGTTGCAGCCATCAAGCCATCACATTAACGCTACCCCGACCTAGCAGTCAACTGCTGCAGCCACTGCCCCGCTCCCTCCAATGATGCACCCCGAAGAGACTCAGGATGAGAAAGCACAGGATACTGACCTCAGATAGCCAAGGTGCATATCAATTAGTGAGCCCAGACTCTTGCATCTTCCCATACATAGAAAAGTGCTAAATTCCCTAACTTGAGATATCTGGTTTTCTTTAATTAACAGTAATCTTTTCAAGTTTCGACTACCTGGTCTTTGTTGCAAAAACTATGTATCATGGATCCTCTCCTACCTCTTTGGAGCAAGCAGTCCCTCAGAGCTTAAGTCCTCTGTTTTGTCCGCCAAGTAAGACATAATTCTCAACTTTTAAGTTGTGCTTTTTTTTTTTTTTCTAGTCAACACATGTTAGCATGCCAGTTTCAGGAATGCTGGTAGATGAAACTCTTGAGTCAACGGACAGTTTATTACTAACAGCAATGGCAATAGTCAGATTATAGTCATTTGGGCCAGTTTCCTGAGCCTTAATTCCCAAAAGCCTACGTGATGTGGGCCACAGGAGGAAGCTTAGGGAATCCAAATCTTTTATAATGAAGAGTGAGATTGCCAGATCTTTGCCTGGAGGGAGACATTATCTCTGCCTTCCGAGGTTGTTCATCATAGAAACGTCCTTGAAAAGACAGTCCAAAAAAGGCAGTGTCTCTGGGTGGCATACAGAAACATGAGACCTGTGGAGACTTGTCTTCCAACGGAAGCAGGAAATGAAAGTGTTCCAGGGGAAAGGAATCCCACATCTGAACGTTGTAAAGTGATCAACGTGACACAGGTTGGAGAGACTCAGGCCTGCTGTAGCTGGCAGGAATTTAGCCTGGATTCCAGTTCCCACAGCTAACTTTGCAGGCGTCCTTGATCTCTGTTTCACTCACGAGGAAATAGATTTTGGAAAGATGGTGACTTGCCCGCCTATTCAACCACGGGACAAGAATCGGATCTTTTCAGAGGTCTTCCACTGCCCCTTTCTCTCATTTGTTCCCGCCTTACCCCAGGGGGCAGGCACAAGGCTGCCCAAAATAAGTAAGCAACTAATGCAAGAGCTGGCACAGATCTTTGAAAGGGCACTGCAAACTCTTAAGCGGTGAAAAAGCTAACGACGCCGTTAAGATCAGACTTCACTTCGGAACCACGAAGTAAGGAGCTCTGGCTTCTCCCACCTCACGGGCCTGAGATTTCCGGGGACCGCTTAAGGAAGGGGCTCCTAGACTTCATTTCCCATTTGAAATCGGAAGTAGGCTGCAGCGACACGGAGGCCCTAAAACACTGCTGGGGTGTTTCTTCCCGGCTAAACTGGCTCGCCTAGGACTGACCGGGATTGCGGAGCATACGGGGCCCACCTCGCTCTGCCGGGGTTCCCCGAGCCGACCGGAACTGGGGCGGAGCCTCCCGAGCGCGCCCAGCGCGATTGGCCGGCACAGCCGTCGCTCAGTGCTCCGAGTGGAAGGGGCTGACCGCCGGCCTCCGCAGGGTCGCGGGAGCCGTGCGGCGGATGGGAGGGGCTGGAGCCAAAGTTGCGGGCGCGGGATCCGGGATCCGGGGCAATGGAAGCGGGCCCCGCCTTGTCCCCCGGGCCTTCCCGCTCCTTCAAGGAGGAGCTGCTCTGCGCCGTCTGCTACGACCCCTTCCGTGACGCTGTGACTCTGCGCTGCGGCCACAACTTCTGCCGCGGGTGCGTGACCCGCTGCTGGGAGGTGCAGGTGGCACCCACCTGCCCGGTGTGCAAGGACCGCGCGGCCCCCGCCGACCTGCGCACCAACCACACCCTCAATAACCTCGTGGAGAAGCTGCTGCGTGAGGAGGCCGAGGGCGCGCGCTGGACCGGCCACCGCTCTCCGCGCCTCTGCCGCCTGCACCGCGGCCAGTTCAACCTCTTCTGTCTCGACGACAAGGAGCTGCTGTGCTGCTCGTGCCAGACCGACCCCCGGCACCAGGGGCACCGCGTGCAGCCGGTGAAGGACACTGCCCACGACTTTCGGGTAAGCGCGGCCGCGTGCTGGAGGTGGCCGAGAGCACACGTGGACTGGAGGCCAGCACCCTGACCCCGCTGCTCCTGCACTCCAGCCTGCCAGAACTGGTGTGCCCGGTCCCGCCCCTCTTCCCCCTGCCAGCTTGCTGGTGCCTCCTCGGGACCCCCACTCCCTGCCGCTGGTAACATACAGAGGCTGCCTTCATCAAGGCCGGCTCAGGGGCCTGAGATGGAAGGAGAGAGAGTGTCAACAGGAAGTGTGAGAACTGGGGTTACAGTGTGTTCTCAAGACAGCTCCCCCGCTCCACCACCTCTGAAGGGCTGAGGCCGTGCACCCTTTCGACCACAGGTGTGTGGCCCATGCCCCTTTTAGAAGCACAGGTGTGGGTAAGCCCACAACCCTGGAACTTGGCACACTCAGGGTGGAGGTGAAGGACCCCCAAGACCTGGCCAAAGATGTGGAGCCTTTTAGATCTCCCCACATCTTTCCCCTCCTTCCCGGGCTGGAGCCCTGTATTGTGTAGCTGTGGGGAGGCCTCTGGCCCTGGCCCTGGCCAGCTGGTCCCTTCTGGATCACTCTCTCAGCATCCCCCTAGAGTTCCAGTGGCTATAAATAAGGTAAGGAACAATTTTAGGGCAAACTAACATGGAGAAGTTTTTGGCAGAGGAAGGAAGAATGATCAGGAAATAAGGATGGGCCATGTCAGGGGTTTTCAGATTTTTTGACCTCAGCTAGCACATGGTAAGACATGTTTTTTCCATTGAGACCCAGAACTGCCACATGCATGTGTGGTGTCTGTATCAGCTGAAACAAAAGTTATGTGAAAATGTCTATTGTACTCAGGTATTTTCTGTCGTTTTATTTTAAAAACTGCACAGGGTGTAAAATATTAATTTATTTCATCGCCAACTAAAACCTACTAATACATAGGTCAGACCCACAGTTTGGAGAACCCAGCTTTGCTAGTCTGAAGCTGAGTGTATTGAAAAGGAGGCACTATAAGAATGCCTGTCTCCAGACACTGTTTTAGTTTGTTTGCTTTAATGCTTTTCTTAAGAAATGTCAAAAGTTGACAGTTCCATACACATTTTGACAAAGTTCAAGTGAAGGGGAATGTCATCAATATGCTTGTTTGAACCCTACACTAGCTCGGCAATGGGATAAGCCTGTAACTGCTGTCACAGTGGTCCACAGCACTGCTTTTTCTCATTCATTCCCCTTGGTAGAAGTGCCAGGTCCTGATTTGGGACAGCTGAAGTAAGTGCTGGGCATTCTGGGGGCTGGGGTTGAGGTAGGGGGCCACCATGGATCAAGTCATGACGAATCACCGTGGGACTGCCACAAGTATAGATCAGGAAGATGGGCAGGGGTCAAGGCCAAGAGCACTAAGGCAGAACCCAGGGCTGAGCTAAGCCAGGATTCAAGATCAGTGAGCCAGGTGCCCCGAAGTGCATATGGTCTAATGACATCTTTCTGTTTATTCAGCAGATGCCTCGTACTGCTAGGCCCTGGGGATACTGCAGGACACGAGCTAAACAGTAATTCATACCTTCAAGGAGCTTCACACAGAGACTGAGGGGTTAGGAAGTGTTAGCCAGGTGAAGGGGGGTCAGGGAGGGTATTTCAGGCAGAGGCAGCAGCATGTGTAAGGATCCAGAAGCAGTGACTTTCCAGACACTGAGAGAATGAGGATGGAGATGCAGAAGGAGCCAGGAGGCCTTTGTTCTAAAGGCTGTAGGGAGCAGTTGGAGGGTTTTAAACAGAGGAATGATGCTGACAGACCAGTGGGCGCTCAGGGCTATGTCTGAGGGGGTGAGGAGTCCAGTCCTGAAAGATCTGAGGAGTGTGCTCAGCCTGGTGCTGGGTGGCATCACTCATGCGTTAGACAGCTGTGCGCCAGGACCTATCCTGGGTGCTGAGGCTGTAGAGGTCAGTAAGCCAGAGCCCCTGCCCCATAGAGCTCACACTGTAGTGTGGGGACGTCAGCCAGCAAGTAGACAAGTTGTCGTTCTGGATGGGGGGATAGGCGGTGGTGGTGGGGACAGTGTGAGAAGGCTGGACAGGTGAGAAGGGGCTGATGGGGAGCCCTGAAAGCTGTTCCATAGGGGCTTTGCGATGAGATGTGTACATTCGAAAGATTACTTTGGCAACCGTATGAGGGACTCCAGCAAAAATAAACATACCAGCCAACACTTTTTGACCACTAAACTGGGTACCGTGTGCTCTTAAGTGTTTACTTGTCAACACACTTAACCCTCACAAAAACCCTATGAGGTTGTGTATTAGTTTCCTCTCGCTGTTGTAATAAATTGCCACAAACTTTGTGGTGTAACACAGCACAGATTTATTAGCTTACAGCTCTGGAGGTCAGAAGTCCCGACATCAAGGTGTTGGCTCCATGCCTTTTGGAGGCTAGGAGAGGATTTATTTCATTACCTTGTCCAGCTTTTGGAGGCCCCTTCCTTCATCTCTGAAGTGCATCATTCCAACTTCTGCTTCTGCTGTCCCATTGTCTTCTCTAACCCCCCTGCCACCCTCTCGTAAGGACCCTTGTGATTACAGGGGGCCCCTGCAGACAACCCAGGATAATCTCCCCATCTTAAAATCCATATTTTAATCGCATCTACAGAATCCCTTTTGCCATGTAAGGTAACACGTTCCCAGGTTCTGGGGATTAGGGCATCTTTGGAAGGGCTGTTATTCAGCTTGCTACAGGTGGGTACTGTTCTCCCCATTTTACAGGCAATGACACTGAGTCTCACAGAGGTTAAGCAACTTGTCCAGAGTTAGAGCATTTACTGTACAGTTCACCTGGGGCCTTGCTCTGCTCTGACTCTAGTCATGGATTTTTTTTTTTTTTTTTTAGGGTACCCTTTGCAGTGGTTGTGAAGATAAAGGAGATATTTTGTGTGACGTGATTATCATAGTATTTGTATTAGTTACCTATTGCTGTGTAACAAATTACAGTTGACTCTTGAATAACACAGGTTTGAACTGCGTGAGTCCCCTTAGTCATGGATTTTTTTTTTTTTTTTTTGCGGTATACGGGCCTCTCACTGTCGTGGCGTCTCCCGTTGCGGAGCACAGGCTCCGGACTCGCAGGCTCAGCGGCCATGGCTCACGGGCCCAGCCGCTCCGCGACATGTGGGATCTTCCCGGACCGGGGCACGAACCCGCGTCCCCTGCATCAGCAGGCGGACTCTCAACCACTGCGCCACCAGGGAAGCCCTGGTCATGGACTTTGATAGAAGCTTCTCTGGTCCCTGCTGGCCCTCTGTTCCGGAGCCGTGAGGGCAGCTGCCTCTGTGTTGTGGGTCCTTAGAGGCTTGTGTGGATGAGAACCATCGTCAGTGGGCCGACAGGTGTGGACTGAGTGCGTGCTCTGTGCCAGGCACAGTGTGTGCAGAAAAGGACAGGGTGGTTCAAACCCCTGCCTTCTTGGAGTCAGGTGGGCATGATCAAATACTAATCACACCAATGGTCAGTCACGGGCAGTGAAAGCGGTACCTCTAGGATTAGAACGCAGGTCTCCTGACTCCCAGCCTGACGTTTCGCCCGGCTTGCATCTTCAGAGCAAACCAGCCCTGAACCTCCACCGGGTCCCAGGCCTCAGAACCTCCTTGTCTAGACCCCTTTCTTCTCCATCTCACCAGACTGATATGACGGCCATTCTCTGCCCTCCACCTTCTTCCTGCCCCAGACCCAGCCTCTTCCCCTTCTGGGGTTACCTTCTTAGAATCAGTCTAGCCAAGCCTACTCGAGGTTTATTCCGGGCACCTCTTAAGTCTTCCCCCTTCCAATCCTTTCCCCAACTGCTCAGCCTCATCCTGGATCTCTCCTTATGGGCCAGGCCTTCCCAGATCCAAGTTGTACTGGAGGATGTTTAATTGCCTCCTGGCAAGGCCTGTGACCAGGGGCAGGATGGGGTCTTACTGAGCACCGCCCATTGAGGCTCCTGCGTTAGGGGGCCTAGCACTAGTTGCCATGGTAGACACCTGCTTCTTAAGGAGGACTGACCACCAAGGGGAAAGGAAGAATGGGAGCCTGGATTGGAGTTGGAGAAGAGGGGCATCTGAATGAGACCACGTTGTCCCAGATGCATCTCTGGAGTCCATTTAAGAAACCAACAGGAGAGTTAAGTCACCTGGGACCAAGTGACACCCAATAGTAACGAGCTAACACATGCCTGGTGCACTCTTGTAAGTACTGAACGTGGATCCTCACAGCCATCCTCTGAGCTAGGTAGTGTTCTCATCCCTCTTATCCAGTTGAGGAAACTGAGGCGCCGAGAAGTTATGGAACGTGCTCAAGATCACCCGCTACTAAGTGGAGGAGCTGGGATTTGAACCTGGGTGGCCAAGTGCCAGAGCTCTTAGCTGCTATTTCAATCTGCCTGAAAAATAAATGTTTGAAATACATAGGAAAAATGACACTACCTGGAGACAGATAGATGCCAGGAAATCCTGGTGACGGGCTAGGTGAGCATGTACAGAGAAAACTGCATTCTTCATTTTTATGGTGGCATTTGAGAGACCATGGGCACTTTCTTGCCTTTATCTTTCAGGGTTGGAGCCTGACTGCCCGAGAAAGAGCTTTTGCCAAAGTTCTCACCAGTGGTCAGTGAAAAGGACAAGGTACAGATCAGGCCTCCGAGCTCTCAATCCAGGAGGCCATGGGGTGTAGTGGTGAGAACGTCAACACCGAGTGTATTTGTCAACTGGGCAAGTGGTTAGTTGAGCATCTAGTTTGTGCTGAGACCTGGAGATGTGCAGTGGTTGAAACAGTCTCTACCTTTTCAGAGCAAGCCTTCATTCCGTCTGCAGTTTATGGAGCGCTACTGTGCTCAGTGAGAGGACCAGGCAAGAGGACCTGCCCCCAGGAAGCCTGCAGCCTTTCCAGGAAAGTGAGGTGGTGATGCTGGGTAGGAAGTTCAGTGGCAGAGGTGTCCACAGAGAGGCAACTAAACTCTACTGGGGAGGCCAGGGTGGCTTTCTGGAGGAAATGAAGAG